AAGCCACTTTAGTTCTTGCAGGATTGGTGTGACATGATCGTATTTGCCAACTCCGCTAACTATTCGACATGCAAAGTTCTGCACTACCTGTACCTTATTTAAATTTGTTTGAGAAGTGTTGCTCCAGACTGTAGAGCAATAATATAATTTTGAAAAACCTAGAGAGTTAATAATAATTGTTAATGTGTGTTTGTCAAAGCAATGTTTCACACGGTTTATTTGACCTAAACGAGACATACATGAGGAGATAGTGGCTTGTACATGGCTGTCGAACGTCATACCAGAGTCCAAGATTACGCCGAGATCTTTGGCGCTTGTTACAGGAATGATTTCTTTACCGAGAAGTGAGAGGCGAAAATTAGGAAGTTTTGCTCTCATCTGTCTGCTACCGCATATCATGGCCTTAGTTTTTTCTGGGTTTAACAGTAACTTGTTATCAAAACACCAATTACGTATTCTCAAGAGATCTTGATTTATTTCTGAGACAGCTCTTTGTTGGTGTTGCAGAGAAAACGACATTAAAAGTTTTGTGTCATCGACATAGGAATAGGGAGAGCATTGTTGTGGAACTGATGGCAAATCGTTCACATAAATACTAAACAGAAGTGGCCCAAGTATACTTCCCTGAGGTACTCCACTCTTTACCTCTAAAGGCTCGGATAAGGTTGTTTGTATTCTTACTACTTGATACCTGGATGTTAGGTAGCTTTGGAACCATTGAATCGCCTGACAAGACGCGCCAACATCTTCTAACTTAGTAATCAGAGTCGTGGTATCTATGCTATCGAATGCTTTGCTCATGTCGAGTAATACAATCGCAATTAGCTGTTTCTTGTCAATGGCATTCAGGATCATGTCTGTAGTCTGAATTACCGAGGTTTCTGTTGAGTGTAGATGCTTGTTTCCACTTTGTTTAGACGATAAACGATCATTCAAGAGAAGGTAGGTCGAAAACTGATTATAAGCTGCTCGTTCGCAGATCTTTGATAGCACTGGCAATAACGATATAGGTCTATTATTATTTGCGATCTCATGATCACCACTCTTGTGGATAGGAACAACTTCAGCGTTTTTCCATACGCTCGGAAAACATATAATATAATAATATCACCATAATAATAATAATAATATAATATAATAATATAATATAATATATAATATTATATAATAATATATAATATAATATATATAATATATAATATTATATAATATTATATAATATAATATAATATATAATATCACCATTGCCATGAAATATTGAAATACCAAGATGATTAGATGAAACACATGTAATCTTTTTTATAAGAATGCCCATTTTTCAGAAATAAAAACACAAATGTCGAATTGAAATATTAACATCGACATTTATAGCTGTGTCACGATATCCAAACATTTATCCCTGAATATCCCCTAAACAAGCTTAAACACGCGCTTCAGCGTTACACAGGGGCAGGTAGACTTGCTTCAAGTCTCTCCAGACTCTGGTTAAGCTACAGTTACAATCATGGCCGTACACAACCGGGGGGGGGGGGAGAGGAAAGTGGGCAACTGCCCCTAGAAAATATATTTATGATTTTTAGAATGTCATTATTAAAGGAATACCGAATGGTTTTACGTGCAGGATTGCGTGATCCATGCACGTGGGATGTTGTGAGACTTTCGGAAAGCGTAAAAATACACGAGCCGTAGGCGAGTGTATTTTTACGCTTTCCGAAAGTCGAGCAACATCCCAAGTGCATGGATCATGCTATCCTGCACGGGAAAACCATTTGGTAATTGTTTTATAAAATTACTACAGTGAAACGACGCTTAACTTGATTAAAATTACTGATGAAATGTGCAGTTCTCACAACATTCGTGAATTAACCAATCAGAGAATCGCTTCTCCACGCTATCACAAACGCTATTAAAAACAACAACATATGTGAACAGAATTTGATCGCAATTCGCAAAAATATACAGCGAAAATACAGGGACTTTTTCGATAAAATATACGAAATTTGAAATTGAAAACCCGCTAAACAGAGAGCCAAAGTAGTTATGAAGATTCTCGACCTGAATATGTGAAGTTTGCGAAGCGTTTGATCAACTTTGAAGCGAGAGATGTTGTACTGGCATGCCATGGTCTGATGAATTCAACGCTATGCGTTGCTACTTGCTGAATAGCAATGTTCGATCAGAAATTTATTCATACAACTAAACCAATGTCTCAATAATTGGAAACTTACTTCAAAGTCGAAAGGTATCGTACAATGAAACTTTACAATGCGAGTATATTTGTAAAATTATGTGCAAGAATTTCTGTTCAGAATTTCCCGTGCAGGATTGTCTGATCCTGCACGGCTGTTGACAGTAGCGTAACGTTATATCAGGGGGCCCCCGGTTCAAAATTTTCGAAGGCCCCCCTAGTAGAAGTGCTAAAGGCACGAGTCGAGCGCCGTATATGCACGAGTTTTCTAGGGGGTCCAGGGTATGCTCATCCGGAAAATTTTTGAATGTAGACTCTCTGAAATGCCATTTCCTGGACTTTGGGGAGAGATTTTACAAAATTCTGATGGTCATAAAACGACATTGTAACATATCAGAGGCCCTGGCCAATGTTTTTGCTCTATCGCCTAAGCCTGGGGGCCCCCATTTGGGTTGGGGGCCCCCGGGTTCTCCCGGTCTGAGCCCATAGTAGTTACGCCACTGGCTGTTGACCAATCAAATCGCGTGTTTCACTGTAGTTATTATATAATAATTTTTATTATATACACAAGGTCTGGATATGAGGCATTCTGCAATCTGATTGGTTCTCTACTAGCAGGATATTAGCTCATATCCTGCTAGTAGAGAAAAACTAAATGGCGGCCAAACTGAATTTACGATGTTTTGCAAACGAGAAAACGGCAAGTTGTCGCTTTTTATAGCCTTCACAGGATTAAAAACACAATGAATAAACTCCCACAAATTGTTTTCAGGTTAGCAAATAAATTTTTAATTTATAAAATGATTAAAAATATATATTTTTGAAAAAATAATCGGCCGAAAGAGCGAAGATAAAAACATAAACAAAATAGAAAAATATTGAAAATATTCGAAAAGCAAAGTCTGTGAATTCAGACCTTGTGTATATAATAAAAGAGTTATTGCACTCACTCTCGTCGAATATGAGCGATAGCCGATTCGGCGCTACGCGCCTCATCGGCTATCAGCTCATATTCGACTCGAGTTCGTAGAATAACTGTTAAATATTCTTCGGATATTTGGGACTTCTTCGGCATATAAGCCTTACTGCCACCCTGCCCTGGCGAAAAAATCCTGCGTACGGCCCTGAGGACAATTTATGAGAATAAAATCACACGTGTATAACTGTAGCTTTAGAAAAGGGCCGGTTGTTCAAAGTCCGTTTGGCGTATCAAAGTTCAAACTGATAAAACAAGGTTCATTGGACAATTAAACAATTTTTAACAATAATGCTTGCAATTACATATCTACTGCATAAAATTTCACAATTATTTTAGTTCACTTTATATTCACAAGCTGTAGCCCCATAACTTGACGCAGCTTAATCAATAACGCCTTGAAACAGACTGAGGCGCGCACATGTTCTCGAACTTAAAACACCAAAATATGTTCGTTTTTACACGATGCCTAACTTCGGAATAGGCTAAACAGTAACAGTCAAGCTGCCTAAACTAGACATCAATCCAAATAATAAAATCAAGCACAATTCTGTTTCTGTTCTGAAATTCCTATACTAAATCGTGCGCAAATAAGCCAACGCAAACAAATTGAGCGATCTACCGGGCCGTTGTTATGCAGTGCCCCTATATTAGTCAGATAAATGGTTTAATTACAGATGTATAATTAAAGAAAACCTCACCTTGATACACGTTTTCCCTTTGTAATCGCTAACCTCAGCTTTCAAAATATTCTTGAAGTCCAGGCTCTTGCTGCGGAGTGGAACGCCAGAAAGGAACGCGTACGCTAGGTTGTTATCGATTCGAATTGACCACTTGTTTGTTGAAGGCATGATAGCTCTTCTTGATCACATATATAAATATATTTCAAACGAGTGCTCAGTATCCAGTAAGAGACTCAACAGCGACAACTTTTCTCTTCTTCAAAATTTCCAACGGTCACAACAGTCGGTGAGATGTGAGATGTGAAACATGTCACACAAAACGGACCAATCGGATTAGTTAACTGAGGTTATTAGGTAACTGAGGAATTTTTCTTTGTGTGAGATGATCTAAGGCGCACGAAAACAGGAGCGATTGCAGAATACCCGTCCACTTTTGAAGACCCGCTAGAAATATCGGTGGCTACGTGGCTACGCAGTGTCGGCGGAGTTTTTAAAAGAACGAGGCATTGACATAATGACGTAATCATACTAAAGTATAGATATATTTTTTTGTGGCTACGTGGTTACGCGGCTACGCAGTGAGTTCTTAAAAGAACGAGACATTGATATAATGACGTAATTGTAAGGAAGGTATATTTTTTAGTGGCTACGTGGCAACGCGGCTACGCAGTGAGTTTTTAAAAGAACGAGACATTGATATAATGACGTAATTGTAAGGAAGGTATATTTTTTAGTGGCTACGTGGCTACGCGGCTACGCAGTGGTATAATTGGGTGTAAAATTACCAAGAGAGAGGTATTTCCGTTATACTTCCTTGATATTGTAATTTGATAGCGCGTGACTGCGTAGCCGCGTAGCCACTGGAAATGTAGCTACGCAGTGAAAAATAGGTACGCTAGGCGTACATGTATCTGCGAAAAACTGCGTTCACATTTTGTATTTAATTGAAAAGAACTGAATAATGAAGATGACATGGGACAATTGAAATATTTCATCACTTATTATAATTATAATAGCTAATAAGATTTTAAAGTCAAACAAGCAGGGGCAATTGCTCCCACCCCCACCCCGCCGAGGAAATGTAACTAATTTTGTAATGTGATTATGATTGTAACAGATAATTATGCAGTCAGAAATTAAAAATTTCATGCACACAATATTACACTAGCATAAAATAAAATATTTTTAAATTTATATCACGAGTATATATTATAGACTGTACAGTTTCTTAAGGTTTTCAATTGAAAATAGATGTTAATGTAAGATTCTAGTATTGAATCTGTGTGAGTATTGATCTGCTTTTCACAGTGAATAAAACAGCTGCTATAAATTCCACTTGCAGTGGTGCTTCCATAACTGTAACAAAGGTTTCCTTAGATCAACTAAGTTGTGATGTCACAGAGATAACTTGACAATCTTCTTCAATTAATATCTATATAATGTCAATATACACAACACATTTTAGATGCCATATAGTCAGGATAGCAGATGTTGTCACTTGTCAGTCCATACACATAGAATTTTCAAAACCGTTTATTGTAATCATATGAAGCAAAAGTTCTGTCACTTGTTAATTACACTTGCCAATGTTAACTGTTGAGTAACATACACAAACTGTTTGAGGAACATGGAAGACCACTGATCAGTAGAGAATGTTTTGAAGGTCACGAGTGAAGTGTATAATTCCATTCCAGTCCTGTGCACACTCAATGATATAGCACACTGTTCGGTATAATTTTAACACAGCATATCCACACAAAAGCAATTTGTGTTTTGGGAGAAAATCTGTTTGAGTAGAAGCTATCTGTTTGAGTACAAGTTTGGTTTTGTACATTGTATGCCACTGATCAGATCCATCCATATGATTATTGTGGCTGTTAAGTTATTTTCGTATAGCCATACTAATGAATTTAGGTGAGATTGTCTTGCAAGTGGTTTGTTCTGATGGAATTATCCAAGGAATATATCCGGTAGATTTATTGGTCATTGTTGTATTAATCTGTAAACAAAAACATTTATGTTAGAAAGCAAAATGGTGGGTTGAGGGTGGGTGGGAGGTGTAAAAAAACTTGCTTACCTGGTGATTCTGTTACTGGCATTTGAAAATTAGTAAATTTTGTGTAACTCTAATGTGTATAAAACCAAAATGTGTAAGTATTTAAGTGAATTGTGTCCAGTGACTCTTGTCCCAATATAGAAATATTTCTATCATAACATTGCTAAGTTTGTTTTAATGAAAACAATTAATTAAGGCACAAACTGCTTTATGATCTGAGAAATAAGTTTCTAAAATGTGTGAACTAACTTGCGACTCTGGTAGATTTGTATAAATATGATCTATTAATGTCCGATTGTCTGCAGTGACATTAGACACCAATTGCATATAGTTATGATCATTGATAAAAAATCTATCTAAAGGCCTTCTATTGGCTTCATCCAACCAATTGATATTAAAATCACCTATGAAAATGTTAAATTGAGAAGTACAAAACCTCAAAACTTCATCTAATGCTGCACACAATTGTTGTACTGGAATTCTGGGTGATCTATATATACCAATTATAGTAACATGTGGAAGAATCATTGCTTTCATAATGGTTAATTATTTCAATGCCATTGATATTATAACAACATGGATATCCAGGTAAGAATTCAACTCTGCTAAACACTGCCATGCCACCAAAGGGTCTGGTAGTCAAAGAGTGACCATCATTTCTGAACAAGGTGTAACCATCAATATCATACATACTGGCATTATCCGAGCGCATACATCGAGTTTCAGAAAAAATATTGATGTCTGTATTAGCAAAATTAAAATCATGCCGAATATCATCAATGTGTTTATGTAACGACCGTGCATTTAGATAGCACAGTTTGAATGACACTTAGTTTTAGTACACGTTCATTTCTCAAATGTTCCATTTCAGCTGCTACATGAGGATTGACAGCTATTTTATCTTCACATAGGTCAGTGATAAATAAACCTTCAATTGCTGTTATCCTGCTCAAACCAACATAATGTATATGTGGTATTGATCTTCTAGTGTTGAAATTTACAACAATTTTTTGTTCAGTGTCTCCTTGTGAACGGTGAATTGTCTTAGCTGCAGTGGGTCTAAGTGGAAACTGTTTTCTAACAAGTTGCGCAGTTTGGTTTCTACCCACAGCAAACTGAGTTGTGATTGGCTTTATTGGAGTCCATGTGGACTCAATACCTTGGACATAAAGATGTCTATTTTCATGTCTGGTTTTCTCTCCAACATCTGAATGGTCAAATTGGACCCATATTATACCGGAAGGTTTATCTATTTGATTCAATTGTATCTTTTTAACAACATTACCAGCACCATTAGTCATGCCATCATCAGTACGTACATTCAATGCTATCTCAGTTCTTTCCCCCACTGACAATTGAAGGTTTGAAACAATTTGCTTAGTTTTCCTAGGATCATTTGGTATTTGACTCAAAATTTTATCTCGAAGTTGAGCAGAGTTAGCTCCAATAACACTGTCTATTGCTTTGATTGAAAACTTTTCACCAGTTGCTGCATTATGCACTCTTTCATTGAATTCATTTACCTTCTGATTTTGTATGAACAAGTGAGGTACATCCATGGGATCTTGGATGCTATTTTCTTTTATTAATCTTTCTTTTAGTTTCAAAATATCAATATGTTTTCCTTCCCTAAGTCTGTTTAATATTTCAGCAAACACTTTGCTCTCCCTTTGGCGCATAATTTCTTCCAATTCAAACATATTGAAGTTATCTTGCCATTTATTAGGAGCAAGAACTGCATATTCTGAATTGTCTAGATTCTTAAATATATACCTGTCCATTACAGGTTCCAGCTGAAATAAATCACCGATAACAACCATGCTTACACCACCAAAATCTTCTTTACTTCCTTTAAAATCTTTCAGTCTGTTATTTATTTGAACATTGAACATTGTACTACCAACCATTGAGATCTCATCCAAAAATATTAGTTTTAAACCACCAAGTTGACACCGTAAGGTGTTTAACCTGCTTGAATCAAGATGTTTGTAATTCTTTAAAGATTGACATGCAGGTATTGAAAGTGCACTATGTATTGTGTTACCTTTGATATTGTAAGCTGCTTTACCAGTTGGTGCAAGCATTAATATTTTCACTTGATGGAAATCATCACCTGCTCTAGTATTATAATACTTTAATGCTGCTTGATAAAGACACTTAGTGAGATGTGACTTGCCAACTCTAGCCCCTCCACTAAGAAAACAGTAGAATGGATTGTCAGAAGTTTTAATAAGATGTAAAACATGGAAGAAAAATTCTTTTTGTTCTCTGTTTAATTTTTGTACCATTCCTCTGTAAACATCATCCTGTTCTTCATGTAATATCAGCTGCTCAGTATTAGATGCAGCTGAAGGAATTCCAAGATCACCAGATAGGTCATAGGTTTCATTGAATTCTGGATGAAGGTCTTGTGCACCTCCATCTTCATCTTGACGTTCAATGGTTTGTGTTCCTGGGGCAATCAGGTCATAGTTTTCATCACCCCGTCTTCCACATTATTAAGCTGGTCTTGAATCGCATTCAGGTCTTCACTGCACATAGCATAACATTTCATTTGCTCATCTATTGTATTTTTAACTTGAAAATAGTGTTCTTGGTAAAAAGCACAATTTCCTAATAAATCAGTTATTTCATCCCTCCATGAAGTGAATAACATGATTAGTTCACGGTAATGCTTTTCAGAATCAACTTCCTTGTTAAAACAGACACTTCGAATAATTCTGGCTTTAGATCTTTTTTTATTCTTTTGTTCGCTTTCTTCTTCCTCATTATTATCATCATTATCACTCAAGTTTGTCTCAAGTGGATAATTATCAATATCTAATTCACGTGATGGTTTGATATATGGCTTACCAGTGGAGTCGTACCATGCAGCCCAATCTGCAAGGGACACATTCTCAAGTTTGGCTGGTCGTTTTGTGTAACGCTTTATTAGACCAGATGCATAAATTTCATCAGAATCATCTTCCAAATCATTAATTTCTTGCAGTGGTTTTAGTAACTGAACTCTATCCTCAGGGGGTGAAGTATTTATAAATACTGCTTGACGAGAAGATTTCCTCATTGGAAGTTGAAGTACTATATAGACTGCTTCTTGTGCACTTATTTCAACATTGTTCAAAAACCTATTTCCAATATATCTCACTTGTTGTTTAAGACTGGAGTTTCCCCTTTTTGCTTCTTCACAAGCTGTTCTTAATAGCTCACTCATGCCTTTTTGAGCCTTGGATATATATAATACAATGTATATTGCACATGCATATACATCTAGTACAAACTGAATATCCATATTTGCACGCCATGCACTGAGACATGCAGCATTATAATTATTGATCCTTAGTTCGTTCGGTTTCCTTTTTAAGAATATAGTTGGTGTCTTGAGACTAGATTGGACAGCTAGCAAATAGTTTTGTTCTGTCAGTTTAAGATTTACAAGCAACTGGTCAAATGTAATATCCTCACCCTCTTTCATATCATTCAGATGTTTCTTTATAAATTTCCAAGTATCTTTATGTTGATCAACTTCATTATCATCCATATCAATATCTAATGGATATAGAATTTTGGTTGACCTCACAGGTGGCTGTGGGTAATTAAAACGACACACACTTTTGGATTTCTTTCGACATGTGTGAGAATGGCGATGAACTTGCCTGTTTACAAGTGCAAGTAAATTTGGATTCTCAGTTGGCTTTTCACATGTGATTATCGTATAAGTGAATGAAACATTCATTTGCAATTTCTTTGTTTTAAAGAAAATATTTTCCACACACATTGCAGCCCTTCGGTCAGACCGTCTTAATTCAGATTTACAAATTTCACTATAATGGACTTTGGTTAGTCTATTTGCATTGTCTGGTCGCTTCTGTCCAAGAAATATACCAGGATATGCTAATTCCTCTGAGTATTTATCTCTAAATATACTCATAGGCCTATTGCCCTCACCAGGTGCAACATCTAAAATATGCTGACGTTCATTATCAGTGACAAAATCTGGAGATGTTAACATAGTGTCAGTGATTCCAGCAGGTATTTCTGCCTCGTCTTCACTCCAGTGTTCATCATCATCACATGCTGATGATTGCTGGGTTTTACATTCTGTATCATAATTCAAGTCCACAACATTTTCTGAACCCTCTGAAGTTTGATCATTGTCACTATCATCAAATAGCATTTGAGTATTTGAATTACCTTCAAGCCAAGTGTCATTGAAAGTTA